TAGCACTCTCACAATCCGGGACTGCTGGCTCCCAACTGCTCACCTGCCTGCCTGCCTACCTGCCTGCCTGATTACCCCTAACCACTTCTGCCTGCCAGCCTGATTGATGCATAACGTCTCCCCTGCAGGCCATCTTGTGTGTTAGAGTGATGGTCAATTTGCATACCGGTTATGACTAATTAGCATATTCAGGCTAATTAGCATATCCCTCTCTTATTATATAGGATAGGTGCTCTACAGAACCTCTGCATAAGTGCTTAATAGTCATTGCATGTCATTTTGCATGTTTACCACCAGAAGTAGTTTTAGTAGTTGAAGCATATGACAGGGTTTCCTTTTTTAAGAATGAATGGTATCCCATTGGATGCATGTACCATATCTGACTGCATTTTGCATTATTGACTATTGACAGCTTTCCAGCCACAATGCCACCTTTCCTTCTACCCCACATCTAGGTGATCAGGAAAGCCCGAGTGGAGTGCTCCCTCCATTGGCACTGCTGCCTAACCCAGACAATTGCTCCTCCCAGCTCTCTCAGGCCATTTTCCGATCTACTTGGGAATCTGCACTGCTCTCTCCACCAAACTTCATTCTGTGAGTAAGAAACCTTTCACATTCTTTTGGTGCATGTATAGCAACATCAGCCTTGACATGCAAAACAGATTTTGCATGAGGGGTCCATTCTTCCTGTGCGCTGATCACTCTGTAATGTTTTTCTTTTGATGAGCATAAACAACATGTCGAGGTTAAAAACACATTATTTCAAGATGGCTTTCCCTTCCAAACACCTCCGATGTCAAAGGATACAAGTCTGCTCCGCTTGTATGAGCAGTCGTGTGTCACAGGGACAAGTCCCTTTGCTCTCAACCATTATGAATACCAAGTTGGTGTTCATAAGTTTTTCTACATGAAAGATCCTGCAAAGTAAATATTTTAAAAAATAACAGAACTGTATCTTTTGGGAAAAAGAAATAAAAATATTCAAAGATTCTTAACACATTAAAATGATATCGCATCTTGAAATACAAAGTATCATAAACAAACAATAAAACAGAAGGAGAATGAGTTTAGAAGATAGGTTACTGTGTTTTATGTCTTAGTATGCACCTCTTACCTCTCTCAAATGAATACAAAAAAATGCAAAACTGTTTTAAGCATGTTTAAAAATGTTAGTTCTCAATGCAAAATTAGCACTATTAAATTGAAACTCATATAAAAATGTTTTATTTTACATGTTTAAGGAATTGTGGTATTTATCACTGGAAATAAACCATAGTTACCTTATTTTACACATAAGAAAACTCAGACTACAGTATATTCAAAGATTCTTAACACATTAAAATGATATCGCATCTTGAAATACAAAGTATCATAAACAAACAATAAAACAGAAGGAGAATGAGTTTAGAAGATAGGTTACTGTGTTTTATGTCTTAGTATGCACCTCTTACCTCTCTCAAATGAATACAAAAAAATGCAAAACTGTTTTAAGCATGTTTAAAAATGTTAGTTCTCAATGCAAAATTAGCACTATTAAATTGTTGAAACTCATAGAAAAAATGTTTTATTGTACATATTTAAGGAATTGTGGTATCTATCACTGGAAATAAGCTATAGTTACCTTATCTCAGGTTACAAATATGGCTAATCATCTTGCCCAAGCTAATGGCAGAGTAAAGACTAGATCAGTAAACTTTCTGTGATGATGGAAATGTTTTTTTTTGCTTTATGCGATATGACAGACAATAAGGCTATTGAGCACCTGAAATGTGACTGAGGCACAACATTTTAATATTAACTACTGAACTGGAAACACACAGATAGAGAAAGTCAAGAGCTTTAATTCCATGAAGTGTTTTGTTGTGTGTTTTTTTTCTCACTTCTTTAGCAATCAGTAACTCTGTCATTAAAGAGTAATTTCTTTAAGATTATCTATTTTTTAAAAAGTGGGGTTTTTCTGCGATTCATTCTAATATCTTGATTATCTATGCAATTTAATTTAGCCATTTTAAAGCACACAGTGCTAGTACTGCACATCAATTAATGAAAGGACAAAGGATTCTGAAGCTCTTTCTGATGTGCTGGGTAACACTGATAGAGGACAGCCTAATATACTCATCTCTAAACAAGGAGGTCTGTTTTTTACTGAGTTCATGCCTGACTGTCCTCCCCTTTCTTCTCCTTTTCATACCCTCTACCTCCTCCCAGAACATAAAGGTTAGCTAAATAAAGTCATCGAATCATATTGAACATGCTTATTAAAAATTCATGCTAGTTTCAGTTAACCCATTCCTGAAAGTATTATTAACTGTTCTAAACATCTATTTTGAATCCCTAGCAACTAACAATTCCAGCCCTTTTCTGTGCTCAGATGACCTCATCTCGTATTTTCTCTTCTCTATGTTAACATTTCTTCTCAAATAACCAGCCCGCAGTCACTAAAAACAAAGCATCCCAACTCTTTGCCTTTCTGCTCCGTTCTCAGCAGACCTGTGACATGGATTATCACTCTCCTCTGAAAACTAAAAATCCCCACTTTGCCGAAAATGTTTCAAGATTTTTTATGGATACTGGTGATGTCTAACATTAACCTTGACCTTGAGTTAGAATACACACCCCTGAAAATAGTTTAAATGTAAAAAAAAATCATATATCTGCCTTGG